TGTTTCTGATCTGCGGCTAAAGTGGACTTTTGGCCTTGAATTGGAGCCTGTTTTTGAAGTGGTCCCTGGTGTGGGTGTTTATCTTGGCTCTGGACATTTTTTTGACCAGTATCTGGAGAATTTTTTTGATTCGTGTTTAGAGAGGACTTTGGGTTTTGGACAATAGGAGACTGTTTCTGATGCGGGACTTGCGATAACTGCGTATCTTGGCTCTGGACATTTTTTTGACCAGTATCTGGAAAATTTTTTTGATTCGTGTTTAGAGAGGGCTTTGGGTTTTGGACAATAGGAGACTGTTTCTGATGCGGGACTTGCGATAACTGCGTATCTTGGTCTTGGACATTTTTTTGACTCGCTGCCGGAGACTGCTTTTGAGCTGGGATTTGGGAGTCTTGTTGAGCTTGTTGTTTATCCCGTGCTGGAGAGCCTTTATGCTCTGGAACGGGTGGTGAGTGATGCTCATGAGAGGCTAACGAGTGTGTCTTAGTGGGAGTTATGGGCTGTTTTTGAACTGGGGGTGGGGACTGCTTTCTGACTGGGGCTGGGAGCTGTTTGTCAGGGTGATCTCGAGACTGCTGATTCTCTGGGATGGGAGACTGCTGCTGAACTGCTGAAGCGGTGGTGGCGGGGTTCTGATGAGTTGNTGTTGTTGAGGCAGAAATGACGATTGCAATTGGCCTGTGCATGACAGCGTTTCTTGAGTGAGAGCCAACGAAGGCTGTTGCTGCTGCTGTTGCTGCAGCTGCTGCAGTTGAGCAGGGTCTGTTGACTGCTCCTGTCCCGTGGCTGAATAGTGCTCTTGTTTTGGAGTAGACGAAGGTCCGGGAGAGAGTGGCAGTGGACTCGATGTTGGCTGTGATTCACTTAACAGTGTTTGCTGACAACTGGGCAGTAACGTGCCGATTGGTGTGAACTCGTCTCGTCGACGTATCTGCCGCATTTGTCCAGCGTCCTCGTTTTGTCTCTTCCTCTCATACTCTTTCAGATCGTAACGACACACCAGTGCAAATATGACTGTCACAGCTTCCAGCACTTCTAGTATCAGACTTAAAGCGATTATCACTTGCGCCATTCGTCGAACTGCAAAACTCAACACATTTTCAATTGAAAGCGATGATGTATTAAGATTTCATTGGGATCCATTTTAATGGAGTGGCCAAAAGTGAGTAACTTGTGAATTTCGTTGCCGTTACGTTCGACGGATAGTGAAACGGAACGACGAAACATTAAATTTCGTAAAAAGAATCAAATACATCACGGGATTTTAATTTAGAGAACGAAAAAATATTATTGCATGACTAATGAAATAATGTTTTCGCCTGAACACGTACCTTCCTCTTCTTTAAGATTATCCCCAAGTCGATTCAACTTGCTTGTGTAACTGTCCGGAAATAGTGCCATCATTGTACACATTAAAATACCAACGAAACGGAACATCATTGATGGCAACTAAAAACATTAAAATTCACTTTAATTCACCATTGCTATACCAACTAAGTTGGTTGATCCAACCGCACAATCGTAAAAAATCACTGCGCTGTCCATTTTAGCGTAAATCTTGGTCAAATTATTCCACTGATCAATTGTATCAATATGTCAATTGGCCTAAATCCCCAAGAAGGAATACGTGAGCCAAATTCGTTCAATAAAGAATCATCTGAACAGTTCCATATCATATTCCTCACATCAGAGGATTAGTTTGCTTCGGAAAAAGTTTCTTGAAAATGTTAATCGAGATGAATAACCGTTGCAACAACAAGGCAATCAATTTGCGAGGCTCGTTTTCTGATGCACGCATAGACGAGGAATAAATATCCAATACCCATCCAAATATTTTCTGCTGTCGGTATAACAACCATACTGAAATCTTTCTTGAATACCGTTGATGTGTACACATTCACACTCACTAATAATGCATACGTTACTGATGCCACTATCAATGTCTTTCGCTGAAAAAATGCCACTTAAATATATTATTGATACAATATATTCGTATGTTCTGATGAACAGGCATCTCGTTCCCCTAGCGCCGATTATGCGCATCTCAAATACATATGAGGAATGTAAAAATATTTCCTCCCAACCTCCTATGAAATGCTCATTAATTTGACAGAACATTCGTTCATTACTTATCACTGCTAATACCTGAAATATTACAGTCAACACAGTGCATTTTGTCTGAATGCATCGCGACAGCAACAGAGAGCACTCGCATAATCCCATGTGACCAATCTCTTGATGAGCCATCAATTCCAAGTCATTATCTCAACAAAACCATCGGTTTCATGTGCGAAATCTCCAAGAACGTGTTTCGTCGAGACCAAACCAACAACCCGAATTGAGTCGCATAAAAAACGCGAACATCGATCTAACAAAGCACACCTCCTTAACACCTTTATAAACCGTCGAACTTAATCCGTTCGACGCAATCCTCTTGTCGACGACCCACAGCTGATCGCCGGATGAACTATACAAACAATGCATAACCGTGTGTTGCTTTCCTTATATAGCGCTTCTTCAAGCACATAATTTTACTTATATGCGCACATTTGATTATGTTCGAAAATGCAAGTCAGAACATTTTTTGAATTAATTACCTTTTTGCAAGTTTCAATCATTTTGCAAATCTGTGAATTGGGCATTAAGAAATCGCTATGAAAATCGTGCGATCCCAACAATTCTTTACAAGTTCACGTTGAAATTACTATTATACANTCAGCGATGGCATTGTTTATTAGATACACTATTTATAATAAAATCTATAATTGAACAAACAATCAAAAACGAGGCATCGTTCATTTTAACAGCGCTTTAACGATACTAAAACTGACTCATCGATTGATTACGCCACTTAAACAACGTGATGAAATTATAAGTGTTGCACAATTATTATTACAGTTACGGTAATCATCATTATAAATAAATAAAAATTACAGTAATAAATCATAAATAAACTTTCAACATACGAAAATTTGAACACAACAAATATTACAAAACATCAACCGAGGTTATGTACAAATATGAGAACGAGTGATCCAATGAAAAATCACATAACACATTGAAACGTTCAACTCGAAACCGAACTAACAAATAAATATAATAACAACATTAATAACCAACAATAATAACAACAACAACATCAACAAAATAATCAAGCAAAATGAAACAAAAAATATTATCCCGCATAAAAATAGACCAAAAGTCTGATGAAATGTCGCAATGAGATACCAATAGTGTTCGCTAGACTCCCATTTGTAAGTGTCGCGAACGAATGAAACAGCAATCAAATTCACCAATCAAAACGCTATCGTTGCATCTGAAAGATGAACCAACTGAATTATCGAATGGAAATATATCATTCACAACTGAATATTCTCATCGAGAGGCATTCAGTTGTGTGCAAGTGGTGTCCGAATTGCACTGCGATCAACATAAAAAGCACACGTCACGATACTGCTCATGACTATCTGATAAACTTATTCTTTTTTAAAAAGTTCATCTCTCTGCAATCTCTGCTTGGTTCCTCAATTCAACTATATCTACTTCATCATCAAATCAAGCGTTCTTATTCCTTGTTCAAAAAACTTCATCGCCAACAAAAACGATTCATNACTATATCTACTTCATCATCAAATCAAGCGTTCTTATTCCTTGTTCAAAAAACTTCATCGCCAACAAAAACGATTCATAAAAAAAATACGATGAAAAGTTGAAAAAGCACACGCTCACGTTGGTCTAAGTATTGGAAATGATACGGTGAAGCAAGAGAATCAACGAATCAAAAAAGACAAACGTTTTGATGAGTGAGAGTGTGTGCATTAAGCGCGTCTAGTGTAGTGAATCCAGCATCACATAATTTACAAACATGCGGTCGATCACACACGTGTGATAACCAGTGTTGTTGCAGAACGAAAGCATCCGAGAAACATAGCCCGCAGATGGCACACGGCAATGCGGCTGAGGACGATGAGAACGACGCTGATGCCACTGAACTCGCTGATGTTGTTTGTGGAGGCGAATTTCGATCGGTCTTAATTCATCACTTTAGTCAACGTTTCATTCATATAATCGAACAAAGGTTATTGTGTTATGGGTTAAAACGTTTACATTGCATTAAAAATAGCCAATACAGAACAACAACAAC